AGTAGGTGTCACTATGGAGATTTATTTAAAATTTTCCAAGTTGGGATTCTGTTGGCTTTCTGATTCTATTGAGTGGTGTTCTCCAACATTCCTGGAAATCTCAGGAACATTCTTCAAATACTACTCTGCCCATTCCTCTCCTTCTCTATGGCTGATTGGATGCATGCTAGACCTTTTTATTTCATCTTCCATGTCTCCTGGTGTTTTTTTCCACAGGTTTCATTTCTTAGTTGAAGTGGAATTCTGGATAATTTCTTTAATTCTTATTATTTTTATTTTGCTTTTTCTGTCAGCTTTGTCTAAACTGGATGTTAAACCCATGCACTGGGTTTTAAACTTTAATCACGTTATTTCTATCAATTGTTGAAAGAGCAAGAGTTGCTTGCTCTTTCTCATATTATCAGGCCTTTCATTTCTTGAGACATTAAACATTCTTGTATTCTATTTCTGATCATTCCAGCGTCAGAAGTTTTCTTAAGTCTGAGCCTGTGGTTAGTTCACATGGTTATCTTGTAGAGATTCCTCACTGTGAACTCCTTATTTTCTTTGGAACTTATCTGTGAAACTTCTTTAAGGTGTGGTATGAAGGTGGTTTCCTCAGGAAAATAAACTGTGCTCCCTTCTTGCAGATGCCTGGGGGCAACGTAGGACTCAGACCACTTTAAAACAAACTGTTGGCTTGGAACTTTTCCAGTCCACCCAGTTAGTGTGAATTTGGGCTGCAAACCTCATAAAAGCTGGCTTAAAAATACACACTCTCAAGAGAGACTTATCCCGACCCCTCAACGTACCCCTTGGCTCAGTGTCAAGGACCAAGATGGGCAGTCTTCCTCCAGTTCACTCCAGATACAGACCTCTGGGGAGGTAGTCCTTGAAGTCCTGCCATTTTTTGTGTGTGTACAGAATCTCACATTAGACCCTGCTTTGGGCAGGCCTGGCTGCCATCTCAAGGACCCAGGTTGAATAACCACACTCAAAGTTATCTAGTTGACTGCTTCAACACATCAGTTAGGGCTCTGGATCATTCCTTCTTTGGCTCAGTTACTTCTGCATTCACTCAGCCCCTGACATGCTTATTCCTTCTTTTCATTAGCTCTCAGCAGCATTCAGGAAATTGATTTTAATAGTTTACCTAATATTTTAGTTGTTTTGAGTTGACTTTAGTGGGTACCTTGTTCATTGTGCTGCCAAAAAATGCATTATTCATATGTATTTTTGAGATCTGTTCATCTATGTTCTCACCTGAAAGTATTCTCTCATTTTATTTTCTGCTATTAGCCTTGTATTGGGGTAACATTACTTTCATAAAATGAGTTGGGTGGTGGACTCTCTTTGCATCCTCCCAAATAGAAAGGAATTGTTGGCTCCTTTAAGGTTTTATAAAGTATATCTGTAAAACTATCTGGGCCGGGTGTCCTTGACAGAGTTGGGGAGGGTAAAGATCTGATTTGTGATTCAGAATTTTTTTTCAGATTTTCCTTTGTTCTTTTTAGTTATACACAACAGTAGGATATATTTTGACATATCACACATACATGGAATATAACTTCTCATTCTTGTGATTGTATAGTATGTGGAGTTAACACTGGTTGTGTATTCATTTATGACCACAGGAAAGTTATGCCTGATTCATTCTACTGTCTGTCCTATTCCCATCCTCCTTCCCTTTCCATAATTTAGAATTTGTAGGGTTACTGATTTATTCAAATTTTGTTTCTTCTTGAGCTAATTTTGAAAAACATTTTTTCTAGAAAACTAAATTTCCAAATTTACTGGCAACCAGATTTCAAAATATGTTGATGCCTTTTAAATCTCTAGTGTCTAAAGTTATAACTTTTTTCATCTACAATTATCAGTTTTATTAGAGATATTATCTATTTGATTCCTTTTTTGATTTTTCTATTTAAAATTTTTATTACTTAAAAGTTATTTTCTTCTTTCTTTAGAGCTTCTTTTCTAGCTTTTTGAGTTGAACTTCATTCATTCTTGGTTATTTTACAAAGGCATGACAAATCACTTAAGTAGCGCCCTACAAATTTGGGCAAATTCTTTATTGAGCAGTTCCAAATCTTTTGTAATTATGTGATTTTCTCTTCAATCTGTGAGTTATTTAGGATTGTGGTTCTCAAGCACATTAAAAAATACTGAGTTTTATTTCACTTGCTTTCAGGATGGGGAATGTTATCTGTAAGTACATTCTTTCAAAATAGTTGAGTCTTTGTGAACTAGCATGTCATCAAATTTTTTAAATGCTCTATGTATCATTGGAAGGAATATACACTTCATATTCCCTGGAATCAAATTTATTTTGATCTACTGGATAAAGTTTGAATTGGGTTTTCAAAATTTCTGCATTCTTATTAATGTCTTTGCCTACTGGATCTATCAGCTTCTGGTAAAATTGGTTTGAAATCTTCCATTATGATTGTGGATTTATTAATTTTGCCTTTAAAATTTTTCAATATTGGGCTGGGGTTGTGGCTCAGTGGCAGAGTGCTTGCCTAGCATGTGTGAGGCACTGGGTTCGATTCTCAGCACTGCATATCAATAAATAAAATAAAGGTCCATTGACAACTAAAAAATATTAATTTTTTTTCAGTATTTTTCCTTTTTATAGAGTTCATAATACATATGTTGTTAGGTATTCAGTTCAAGTTCAATTGTCTTGGGCATTTTTGTTTTGTTATTACTAGTTTCTTTGGGGTACTTTCAACCATTTGGGAGGGGAATGGCTTGATGTTCCTTCATATCTCTCTCTCTTTCTCTCTCTCTCTCTTTTGGTACCAGGGATTGAACTCAGGGGCACTCTGTCATTGATCCACATCCCCAGCCCTATTTTGTATTTTATTTAGAGATAGAGTCTCACTGAGTTGCTTAGTGCCTCGCCCGCCCATTGCTAAGGCTGGATTTGAATTCATGATCCTCCTGCCTCAGCCTCCGGAGCTGCTGGGATTACAGGTGTGCACCACCCTACCAGGCTCATCTCTTTGTTTTAAAGCTTTCTGCTAGGTGTTATTTAGGTGTGTCTCCTGTAAATAGCTGGATTTTCTACCTATTTAGTTTGTTTAGATTATTTGCATTCATGGTGAATTCTAATGATTTAGATTTACTTCTATCACACTATTTTGCACTTTCTAAACCTAACATTCTTCCTTTCCCCCTACCCCATGTTTTTTTTTTTTTTTTTTTTCTTGGCCCTGTTCTCTTCCTTTTTTCCCCTCATAGAGAGACTGCGAAGCTATGGCAGACAGTGCCAGGCTAGTTACCTTCCTTGTATCTCATATCTTTTTCCTACTTTGAAACAGAATTCTTATTTCTAGTGTGATGCACTACTGACCAGAATAAAAATATACTTCCCAGCCTCCCTCGAGCAAAAGGAAGGTAGCTGAAGCACCACGTGGACTTCCAGGAGGCTCATTAAAAGGAAGCCCCAGCTGCCTTCTTGACAGGGGGATGAGGCCATGGACAGGAGGTAGGTCTGGTTCCTCAGTGCTGCCAACCTGGATCTGTGACTGCAGGTCTGGGACACCTTCGCTATTTCATTTGTGGGAGAGAGAAATGAACTTCTTTTTTGTTTATGCCACAATTTGGGGATCTCTTTTACTGAAACCTGAATGCAATTCCTGACACAGATATTATAGAAGGTTCTAGAATTCTTATTTTTTAAACAAACATTTACCAATTTCAGAAAAAAAAATTCTTCTTCCAGTTTATTAAATAACACCATTCACACCACTCAGTGCTCAGCTCTTTCTTGTGTCACATGGCTCCCTTCTAAGTGCACCTTTCTTCTGTATGGACTAAGCTGACTGAAGATGGCATGGAGACAAGGGTAGGGACTGCTGATGGAGTCCAGCCTTCAGTCGGGGTCCTTACTCCTGCCCCTCTGGAGATCTGATCATATGAGCCAACAACTATGCTTATTTGCTGGCACTTGAAGCCAAAGAATCCTGATGCAAAGAAATAGCTACTGAACATATGCGCTCCTGTAGCATTTGCCTAATTCATCCACAGTGAAGTAACCAGAAACAGTATAGATTTCAATTTAAATTCTTAGAGAGGGAATTGATTTTAAAAAGACAATATCAGAGAAGCAAACACATAGGAAAAACACCAGAGGAGAAAGATAAAAATGAAGAACTAAAAATAACAAGTCCCAGAATGCTGCCTAATTTATCAAACTTGTCAACATCAGCAGTTAAGAGTAGGAATCTGTTCTTTAAGGGAGGGGAACAGACTTAAGCTATCAAACAGTATTAGAATCAAAGGAACAACAAAAACTAGAAATAAATGTCCATAACACATCTTTATGTATCAACTATTTAAAATAGCCTAAGGACAATACTAAGTAATGTCACATTAAAATTCTCCCTGGTCATTTTTTGGGCGGGCGGGGGTGGGGGGGGCAGGTACCAGGGATTGAACTCAGGGGCACTCAACCACTGAGCCCCATCCCCAGCCCTATTTTGTATTTTGTTTAGAGACAGGGTCTCACTGAGTTGCTTAGTGCCTCACAGTTGCTGAGGCTGGCTTTGAACTTGAGATCTTTCTGCCTCAGCCTCCTAAGCTGCTAGGATTACAGGTGTGCCCCATGGTGCCCAGCTTGTCATTTAATTTCCGAATACAATGATGATGCAGTACCACAATTTAACTCAAGAATTTTTGTTTGTTTGTTTCTTGCCATTCCCTTTCTTCAGCACAAGGCTGAAGGTCAGAATGGTATACCCTACATATACTTTAAACCATGCTAAGGTTTTCTTCTTGACCATGACAGTAGAACAAAACACTCAGATTAAGAAAATTTACAATACAAACAATTATTTCACCCAGGCAGGGTTTTTTTTTTTAAAGAAAAATTCTATCAGAACACTAATTTTAAGTATATGTTCTCCAATTTGATTAAAATAACTACCTAAAAAGCAAATCATAACATGCATTCTAACATATATTAAGAGGAAATCTATGAGTTAAAATGGATATTTAGAAAGGAAAATAATTACCTTTGAAGCAAGGTTGTCAACTAAAGCAATCATAGAATTCTTAAACAACGTGGCCGCAGTCAGAGGTCGCTTGGTCACCTCTGTAATGCTCAGTTTGCCTTCAGGCCACATATTCTTCAGCACAGGATTTGAACTGAGAAGCATAGAAAGAGCAATTCAGAAGCTGCATTCAAATAACTTGAACAAAAATGGCTAAGCAACCCCACTAAACTGAATCCTTGGAATCCCAACTGGACTGCAGACTAAACTCACAAGGCCTAACTGGACAAATTGTTCCATCCAGAAAATTATGCTACTATAATGACCAATACTATACCAAGCTTTTCTAAAGCAGAGCACATTTAAAAATTTCTTCAAATTTCTTTAAAGTGAGATCTATAGTGTTACTTAGAACCCTCAAATGCCTCCTACAATATATACATAAAATGATTTTGTGATGATTAAAAAATGAGGAGAACTGGGTGCGGTGGTGCATGCCTGTAATCCCAGTGGTTCAGGAGGCTGAGGCAAGAGGATTATGAGATCAAAGCCAGCCTTACCAAAAATGAGGCACCAAGCAACTCAGTGAGACCCTGTCTCTAAATAAAATACAAAATAGGTGGGGGATGTGGCTCAGTGGTCGAGTGCCCCTGAGTTCAATCCCTAGTGCCCTGTCCCCAAAAATGAGGATAAACCATAGGAAAAATATCCTCAAAATCACGGCAGAAAACAAGAAAGTAAAAATGTCTTCTGATTGAAAGAAATATTCATACAGACTAGGTAACACTACAAGAAGCAGCTCTTTGAAAAAAAATATAGGTAGGGATATAAAATAGTCATTTTTACACTGTCTTCTAGCAAATCCCATTAGTGTAGTTGAATTTATGAACACGTTTACAGATAGCTCTGGCAGTTATGGTATTTTATTGCTATGTCACTAGGACTGCTGCAATCTGATTCTAAAAACGTATTTCAGCCCAATTTCCATGTTAAAAATTACATATTCATTATTTGACTCCGTGGAGATATTTTTAAAAATGTGTGGTGATCTCAACTGTGATTTTCTTCCTATTTCATTTTGGGCACTTTTCATTTTAAAGTAATTGGAACTCAAAATGTTGCTTCCTTCCTGGAAACTTTGTCAGAAAAAAAAATTTCTAAAAAACTTGAAAAAGAAAAGAATTAACTCCGACATTCAGTGCAGATTGTGCTTACGCTGCCACCATTTTACCTACTTTCCTGGGTAGGAAACTGAGTAAAATTCTGTTCCCTAGGTGCTCGACGGAAGGGCTGCAGAAGGAAGGGATGGATGATAGCAGGGTGGAGGCCAGTGGTGACACGAGGACGGATGGTCTGGGACCGCAGCACCCTGAGCCTCCCCACTGCCCCAGGTGCTCTCTGCATCTGCACCCTGGGTCTCAGCCAGCCTGGCCTTCTTGTGGCCCTTCCTGCTGTCAGTCCGCTCAGCTCCCTCTGTCTATCTCAGAGCCGTGGTGCTTGGAAGACCCCTCCCTCCTCCAGATGCCGGGCTCCTCCCTCCCTCATCCACGCCTGGCCTCCCTGCCTGCCTCACCTCTGCTGCCCTTCACTAGTACTCTGACCTACTTTATTATTCTGCACAGCACTTGTCAGACCTGAAAGTCATTTGTTTCCTTGTTTATTAACTGTCACCTCCACTAGACTATTAGCTCCATGAGGGCAGTGGCTTTGTCCAAGTTGTTTTCACTGTCCTGTCCTAAAGCACAGAAGAATGTGTGGCTGGAAGGTGCTCAGTATGTCTTTGATGATCTACTGACCAACGGACTGAATAGACTTTTATAAACAAGTAAATAGAGTTCTTGAATCTATAAGAAGCTGGCCAAGAATTTCCTTCCTTGCTTCTAAGCCTTCTTTCTGTATAGGGTTTAACTTGTTGGTTTTATTTTGCCCAGCTTTTATTATACCCAGTTGGTTCATGAGAAAATTCTGTCTGCAGAGCCAAGATCAGAGCCCCGACTCTAGATGCCAGTCTGACATCAGAGTGATCTCTTGTTTGGGGATAAGGACACTGCAGTGAGAATGTGAATGTGCAAAACTTTCATCTGGGCCACCGGTTGCCTGACACTTCTGCATCCACTAGCCTGGCCTGGGGACTGCTGAGTACACTGGTAGGGGACGACAGAGACAGTAAACAGAGAAATGGTGGCAACCCAAGGGAGATCAAAGAAAACCATATTCATAGCAGGTTCCTTCCTAAGTTTATAGATTTTATCATTGTAAGGTCATGTACTGTTTCACTCATTAAGCACAACAAAGTAGAACTAGAAAACCTGCCAGAAACTCTTAAAATAGTCACATAAAATAATAATGTGCCTGTATATATACATTGTGTAATATCTGTCAGAGAGCTTAAAGATAATCAGTAAAATATTAATCATACCTGTTATACATAAGACGCTTGAAATCTTGAAATAAAGTATCTTTATTTTTGTCAATAAAGCCAATGACAGAATAGCTAGTAGAAAGAAAACACAGAAAACATGAGTCATTCGCCATGCAAGAGCCCCATTTCAGCTTTTCTAGAAGTTTACAAGCCTTTCCACTGTTGAATATGCAATCAATCATCTAAACGGCTGGTACTGTCCATTTGGTTGTGGGTCCAGGGACACCAAATTTGTCCACTAAATAGAAGGGACTTTGTTCCTCCTCTTCAGAAGGAGAGCCAACATCAGTCCTATCATTCTGATTAAGACCATTATTTCCTATTGTTCATTGCTTACCTCAAGAAGATGACTTCAAAACAGAGAGCTGTCTTTATCACCCAGCACTCCTAAGAGAAAGGCAAAGCAGCCACATACAGGCGCTAACGTTTCTTCCGTAGGGAGGCCAAGCGACTGCCTAAGGACCACTCAGTGCTCAGGGTAGGGTAAAGAATCCAAGAAGAACTGCAAGGACGGCAAGAATTGGGTAAGCAGAGGAGAAAAAAGCAGGCAGATCACACAGGGAAACAGCAGAGTGGAGGGGTGGGAGCAGGCATAGGCAGGGAGTTCTGGAGAGAAGTGAGCCCAGTATTCGTGGTTTGGAGGAAGGGAGAGAGTCAGGTCTTGAAAGCCCAGCTGAGGCTGCAGTTGGCCAGAAGAGCAGGTGTGGGAGCTGCACCGCTGCAGTGGCGGGCATGGCCTCTAGGGGGAGCACACTGCAGTGGGGTGGAGGAGTCATGGGGCTGAGGTGATCAAGCAGAGGCTAGGAGGTTGAGCAAACAGTAGAGTTCTCCTTAACAGCTTTGCCCTCTGCCTGTCTACATGTTCTTCCTTGACAATCCCATCAGTGAAGACAACTCCCAGGTTTCTACTCCTGTCCCCTTGCCTTACATATTTAATTCTGTAAGAACATTCTTTCAGGCTTTGCTGCTCATGGGCACTTTAAGGTCACGACATCCACAGTCATCTCCTTGCCTGCCTCATCCTAGGTCTTCTCCCTAATACCTTCTTATCACTTTGACTGAACTCTTGAAGTCACCCGACTCAATCTATTGTCAAACCCACACAACTCCAACTTCAAAGTCGTTAGTTTGGCTTTCAAGAATGTGATTTGATCTCAACCTACTTTTCCAGGCATTTCTCATCTGTGCTACAAAAAAGAACACATTCCAATCAAAGGAACCTAGTAGCTCTTTCCTGATTTTTTTTTTTTTAGCACCTTTCCCACTTTTTCCTATAAAAGAATTTCCCAGCATTCAAAGACCAGTATCGATCTTCTTGGCTTCACTGCAATAGCATAAGGTATCATGCCATTTCCTAACTCCAAATTCGGATAATACTTTTATTGTTCATATGGCCAATAACTTAAACCATCTTTTATTGTATACACGTATATATATGTGTGTGTGCCTAAGTATGTGTTTGGATACATTTTTCATGTGAAGCTTTTTGTGGGCAGGGACCATGCCTTATAAAGTATTGTGTATACAGAAGACACTCAGTAAAAACTAGAAGAGGATGAAGGGCTTAGGGAGAGAAGAAGAAACCTGAGGCATTAAATATCAACTAGAGTTCCTGACTGGGAGTCTGGAAACCTATTGTCTCAGTTCTTCCATAAACTTAGTATGTAACATTGGGTATGACTTTTACTCATTCTTCTAAGATTCTTTCTCTGTAAAGTAAGGAAGCTGGACTTGGGGGGTCTCAGAGGCCTCTGTCCAGCTCTGTGTTTATGCCATTCTGAGTTCTGAGACAGTGCTCTGTGAGTACAGCTTGGATTTTCAGCAGGGGCTCTCTATAAGGTACTGGATCTTCTTTCCTCAGTGTTCGGGGCCTGGGGACAGGACCAGAAAAGTGGAAAAAGGTGCCATTGCAGCACTGATGGCGAGTTTGACAGATGGGGTGATAATCTTGAGCCGTATTATTTTATCATTTTAGAGCTTTAATTTAAATCAGGAATAGCTATTAAAATTTCTTCAAATATCTTTTCAGCATTTATAGAGAAGACCATTTGCTTTTGTTCTTGTTTAATCTCTTCCTGTAATAGGTTACATGGAAAGAATTCCTAATGCAAAAAAAAAAAAAAAAAAAAAAAGCAAAAAGGAAAAGACTACTTTAAACTCTAAGATGAGGAGCAGTGTTCAACAAACAGCGAACAACACATCTGAAACAGTAAGCTGAGAAATGACCTCCATCAAACTCCCTGGAACCTGGGAAAGTCACCTTCTCTGAATATGTTAAAGATGTTGAGAGGAGGAGCTTATCCTATATTATTCAGGTAGGCCTATCATGACATCATCATGTCCTTTTAAGATAAAGATGGGGAGGTTTTAATTTTTTTAATTTTTATTTTTTTTAAGTACTCCTGGCTTTTTATTTTTTGGTTGTTGACTTCACAATTTTTCCATGTTTTTTTTTATTGGTGCACTAGATTTGTACATCATGGTGGGATTCGTTGTTACATATTCATACATATATGCAATATAACAATATAGTTTGGCCAATATCATTCCTTAGTATTGCCCACTTCTCTCCTCTTCTCCCTTAGGCAGAGGGAGTTTTAACACAGACACACCAAAGAGGAGGCTAAAAGGATACACTCCAATCAAAGGAACCTAGTTGCTATTTCTTGAATATTTTTAAGCACCGTTCCCACTTTTTTCTATGAAAGAATTTCCTAGCATTCAAAGACCATGGAGGCAGAGATTCGAGTGATGTGACTACAAGCCACAAGCTGGAAAAGGAGGAGCCTCTGGGGGGTGTGTCCCTGCCTCCAGAATTGTGGAAGAATGCATCCGTTGTTTTAAGCCACTGATTTGTGATAATTTGTGACAGGAGCACTTGGAACTTCATATGCCATAGTTCACATAACATAGTTACATTTTTTCATCCATTTCTATTTTTACTGTAAGATAATCAGAAAATGTGATATATAAGAATTTTACTTTTTCAATGATTTTTGAAAAATAATACAGTAAAATAGCTCTGCATATGTAGGTATCTGGCTCCTGGTAGCTCTTCAGTACAGGGATGATCTAGCCGCTGGGCCTTTTCGTGTCTGCGGCTGCTTCTACTTGAATATGCCCTCGTTTCTCCCTCTGATATTGCTTCCTCCAGCAAGACTTCTCTACCCTCCCTGCGCTGGGTGCTGGGTTCATTATCCTTCCTCACTGCTCCCATAATGCTTTGTGCCTCTCCAGTTTAACCCTTTACTTTTTCCATCATAATGACTTGATGATGTATCTGCTTATATCTCCACTAAACTGCTAGTTTCTTCTGAACAGGGCCCATTTTATCCATGTCTCTATCCCAATCCTTAACAAATTTGCATGATTTACTGATCTATCCACTGATTGTTGCTGAATACTAAGAACTGTGCACAGGCATACAGTGTGTGCTTAATGTTTGCGAGCAAGGAATGAATGAAGCTGTGCTGTGTCTTTTTTTTTTTTCAAGTGAGAAGAAAAAAAATACTGACAAAAGAAATTATCAAAAATGCAAATAAAAAGGCAAACACTTGGTAGTTTCCCAGACTGCATTTCTGAAGCATGGTTGCATGCAAATCATCATGCTAGCCACTCCTGTAAGATACTCACACCACATCGCCTGCATAATGCCGGATTCGAAAATCCCGATCAAACTCCAGGATTTTGTCTGAGGCACAGACCTAAGAGAGGGAGAAGGAGATTATTTTGAAAATAGGTACTTTTGCTTTCCTAAAGGTACATTACAACTTCATATGAGATATTAGTGTCACAAATGATGGAATCATGAGTAAAATCACATTATGTGAGGCTTATGTGGTAAGAACTGTGGACTTTCACCAAAAATCCACTAGCTAGACTCCATTTGCCAGCCACTCTTGCAATTGATATGGTCACGTCCACATTCTGGACAGTGGAAGTGAAGTGTGGCAGCTCCAGGCCCCAGCTGGGAAGAGGTGGATGACTCCCCTAGGGACTAGCTGGATGCAGAGGTTAGTGTCTAGGGGATGAGAGGCCAGGTGAGGGAAGAAATGGGGATCCCTGAGAGAAACAACCTCTGCTGTCATCTGTCACTTTAATCTTGGCTACAACCAGCTGTGCTTTCTCTCCTCCATCTTCCACCTAAGGAGACCCACACTGAGCACTTATTATTGTGAGGTGCACGCATCTCATGCAGTCCTCACAACCTACACTTAAAGTAAGTACTAGGGCCTCTCTCTGACACACCTGGCGACTGAGGCTCCAAGAGGCCAGGTAACTGGCACAGGACCATGCAGCTTCCCCAGGGCAGCCCTGGGAGAACTCAGGAACCCACGTAACGCCTGTGCTCTCGCATGTTCATGGGACCTGACTCCTTTGCCTGCCGCTCGAGGACTCCAGTTCACAGGAGACCTACTGTGTGCAGCTCTTTGTCAGGGAAGGGGAATAGCTATGGGAAGGCCGCTCGTGTGTGCCCCAGGGGTCTCCATAACCTTCTGCTGTCTTCCCTTCCAGGAGCACCTTTGCCCTGGGAAGACAGCTGGATGTCCTACAGGCTCTAAAGCAGTCGTCAAGATTCCCCCCAGCGCTGGCTGCAGTTACACGCAAAACCCACGGAGATTCTAATGTTGGAGAGCAAACAACTCCAATCGCTAAAGGAATAGTTTTTTATTTTGCCAATTGATTATTTTTGGGAATTTGGACCAGGCTTTTTGGGTTTCCCTTTTGGGCCTTCTTACTTCCTCCCCTTTCTCTCTTCTCAGAGTTTTTGAGAGTTGAGTGAACTATTGTATAACCAAAGCATCTATATACAGAAGAATCTTCAAAATATGCAATTTCTCTTATTTTTCCCTCTTACTAACTCCTTTCACAAACCCTTTTATTTATAAAAGGAAAAGAACCCAAGTGGTGAAATACGTGTGTGTGTGTGTGTGTGTGTGTGTGCGCGTGCGCGTGAGTGTCTACCAGGGACTTTGAACACTGGGGCACTCCACCAACTCAACTATACTCCCAGCACTTAAAAATTTTACATTTTGAGACAGAGGGCTTCCCAGTTGCCAAAGCTGGCCCTGAGCTTGCAATCCTCCTGCCTCAGACTCCTGAGTAGCTGGGATTACAAGTGGGCACCACCACACAGGCTAAAGAAATATCCTTACATTTTGGATACATTGCAAAAGTCTCAATTGATCTGAACACAAAAAGGGTTCTTTCATTTTTTATTTGTGGCAATAATTTATTTTTTTAGTTGTAGTCGGACACAATATCTTTATTTTATTTGTTTTCTTTTTATGTGGTGCTGAGGATTGAACCCTGTGCCTCACGCGTACTAGGCGAGCATTCTACGGCTGAGCTACAACCTCAGCTCCTATAATTTAACTTTTTACTTTAAAAGTATTTTATAATTTATTAGGTTATTGCATGCCTCTCCATGGTAACTTTAATGCATCAAAGAAGTAGTTTAGTCCATAAGTGAATAAACATTATATGCCAGAAACCCTTTCTTCAATGTGCCATTAAGTCGAGTTAATCAGTAACCAGTGGCAAATGATGATCATACAGGTTAATAGCATTATATAACAAAACAGTACATAGGGATTAAAAATATCTTGACAGCTTGGTTATTTCATTTCTTTTCTTCATTAAGCAAAAATCCCAGAAAAGAACACACTTTAAAAATCCACATCTCAGTACTTGTCCTGGGGATCCCAGAAAAAAGAAGAAGGAGCCATTTGCCTGATTGTTTGGAAATCAGAGCTTCCAAAATTTGGGAGTGGGGTGGGAACATCACAGATAAATCACTAATTAGCATTTTCTATCAAATCAGTAGCAAGTGTTTAAAAAATTATGAACAGTTTCTCTGAAGAGTAAGATTATATTTCAAAATATTTGTAGACAAATTTAACTCAAGTATAGAAGTGGCCAAGGTGAAAGATGGTTTCACAATAAGGTGGGCTTGACTTCTCATGTGTGACTCATGGGTATTTATTTAAATGAAGATTTAAACAAGATGTATTAGAAGAAAGGAATTTTTAAAAAATAAAAGCTGATTTTTTTTTTTTTTTTAATTGTTGGTCGTTCAAAAAAAGCTGATTTTCAACACGACTGTCTGTCACAAACTGAAACAGTTTGCAGAGGGTACTGGTCTGGGGTCTTCCACCAACTACTTTGAAAATAGCTCAGTTTGCCTTATTTTTCCACTGCAGGGTTTTTTTTTTCTCTCTTATTTAAGAAACATTTCACTATCACAGGGTCATGAATATTCTGCTTTATTTTCTAAAATGTTTATAGTTTTAACTTCTCTACTTAGGTCTCTAATGCACCTAAAATAGATTATACATGTGTGTAGTAGAGATTCTGATTCATTTTATTTTCTCATGAATTTCTAATTATTAATTATTGAGAAGTCTGAGATTTACATTATCATAAATCAAGGATCTATTAAAGTGTGGGTCTGTTTGAAAAGCCAAAAAAAAAATGCAATATATTTGGCATGATTGTGATCAATTCAATTCAACTTCACAAATACTAATGAATGTCTATCATTTAGTGGGTGGGTCTAGGGGTTCTCCACAACCTGACTTGTAATTACAACAGGCATTTATAAAGTATCCATCAAAGATAAGACCTTTCCCATGCAATCACTCTATTTTTAAATGCATCACTCTAAATCATTTAGGTTGCTTCTAACTTTGCTTACTGCTCTGCCTCCAGCACTGAGAAAGGCACCTGGAAAATGAGAAGCACTTGATAGTTATTTGGGATTCAAGTGGGGGATGACTGAGTATCCCTAGCCCAGAACCCTAATGTCAAAGATCGGTCTGTGGTGTTTGCAGGCCAATTTGTAGCAGGTTACAAGTCAATCCTCAGTAACAGCCTAAGGAGAATATCTCCGAAATAATGAGCCAGAAACATACTTCAGTCAGTAATCAATTTCTTGATGATATGTGCTTTGACTAGATAACTGTGGAATTCCCTGTTTTGATTATATAATTTCAAAGGCAACAAAGTTAGAAAATAGATTTATTCATGCTAAAAAAATGGCAGCATGTCATAGATTTATAAAATAATAGAGGAGCAGAAATGTTTGCCCTTTTATTTAAGGACATGAGGAGCAGGGAGGTGTTCTCCTTCAGCTTATGGCTGCTAGGCAAGCTTATGTGGAGAAGGCCAGGGGTGATGGTGACATGCCCCTCCTCAACACAGATCCTGAACAAATACTAACAGCAGGGCCCGACACAGAGGTCTGATTACCACAACTGCCATCAGTTATTACAGAAAAGTGATTTGCCTGTGACAGTTTTAGATTGTGAAAAATGAGAGCAAAAAGGATTCCTGTTTGCTCAAGCAGTGAGTTTCCTTGTGATATCCAGAATTATAGTTTCAATTTTTCCTGTTTTCAAGAAAGTCGCATAGTCTGAAGAACCATAGCAGAGCACACACCACATCTTGCAAATGAGGATTACAGTGAAAAGTCAAGGACAAAAGCTATTTTCTGTGCCAGAATTATCAGATGCAGGAGTAAAATTCTAGCACATGAACCAGGACTCTGCACCTATTGGCTGTCAATGACATCATGCTTTCCAAAGAATCATGCTCATTTTCCCCATTTCTAGCAAATAAAATGGTCTGGAGCTCCCTCTCCTGGACGCTATGATTTTATCAATCTCGTCATTCTATAAACCAGAGAGGCAGAACTAACCATGCCAATAAATCATTCAATGATGCTTATGGCTTTTCTCCTTATTCAAGTGGACATTCTTTTAAATCCAATATGTAAAGTAATTTAACTCTGTCAAACAATGAGCAAAATCTGACAGATCAAAATGAGAGGAAGATCTCATTAAGCACATTACCTTTCGGCTGGAAAAATGACCATGTTTGCCCAATTTACTGTTCAGTGCCTCAAGGAACATTTCATCAGTGACTTTGCCGACATTCATGCAAGCGTCATCTAGGATGGCAATGATGCCTTTGTGCTGCTGCTCCACAAGGTCCACAATGATCTGATTGTTGAAGTAGTCAATCTGTAGGACACAGTGAGAAAGCAATTCTCTAAGTGAACAGAGACCAGTGCAGGTGAAACACAAAGATGCCTCCACTGGTTTCTGGAGCATGTTTGACTCCCCTGATGTGAACTGTGTTAATGAGGAATGAGCACACATTCTAACAGAGTATGTGAACTCTGTAATAAACAGAGTTTATTTTAAAATTTCTTTGTTATCTTTATATCATGAAACTCTTTGTCAGAGAGGCAAAAGTTATAAGGTAGACAATATTCTCGTCTTATGAATTCTTCTTTTGATCCTGTCGCCATATTGTATTCCCAAATCTACTCCTTCATGTTCTCCCCAATCCATTTTCTGATAACCACAAGATCCAGCTTTCCCTAACAAATAACCTTCAAGTTTTATTTGACATACTACTCCATCATGAAGTTAAAGCATTACACAGAACTTGCACTTTTAGTTATATGACCTTAAGACTAAAAGCCAAAGACCTTTACCTTCAGATTCTGAAAAGTTAAAAAGAATATGAGTCTAACAGAATTTTGACATTTTTTTCTGAATATATAAAATTAATTTTGAGATGTACATATCTATAAAAGATGAGAATACACTTTTTGTTTATTTCTATGAGCTGAATTAAGTTATAAAAACTTCTGCTTTTTTACCTACTTCAATATATACAAGCTTTGGACAAAATTCCTCTCTTACAACTGTCCTGATGGTCTGCAGCACACCAACCACCAGACACAGAGAGCACACACTGGCCTAACTCAGGCAAGCCACGTGTCCCAGAGGGACAGCTCATTAGCAAACATTTGAATCTTATGTGTAGATGTGTCCCATCTTGTGCAGGAGGTATACCTAACCTGTCTCTATTACCTTCTACCAGTCTATATACCTGTAAGGAAACACTAACATTGTCTCAAGTACCCCTGTCCCATGCTTTAAAAATTGAAGGACTTTTGCTGGCTATTTGTGGCTTTCAGCTCCAAATTCAGCTTGCATGTTGTCTTCTGTATCCCATGGACTGAAAGCCTACAATCTAGGTGGCTTTTCCCCTCTTTTTATACTTTTTCTGGTTTGTCTAAGTCTCAACTGGGGGTGATTTTGCCTCTCAAGGGACATTTGGCAATGTCAGGAGACATTTTTGATTGTCAGGATGAAAAAATTATTTCCATCTTTGGAAAAAATATTCTAAAAATACTAAAAAGAATTCTATATTAATTAATAGCTGACACCTTAAACTTTGGAATGAAAGACTGTTTTGTCTTGAAACAAAAGAATTACCTTAAAATTCAAATGGTATTACCCAAAGTGCTTGGTCTTTCCTGAAGATTCTAGAAACTCTTAGTTTGTAAATTTAATTCTGCTTCACATATTGTTTAAAGTAATGGTTTTCAAACCAGTTTCTCCCAGTAGCCTGGCATTTCTAGGAGTTTTTATTTATTTATTTATTTATTTATTTTATTTTATTTTTTTTTAGGGATGCAGGAGCCAGGAGAGAAGTGATGGGATAGCTTAGGGGTATGGGCTCTGGTCTCCATTCCAAATACTACAGTGTTAACAAGTATGCCTGTGGAATTTGATACTCTGATTGTTAGGAAGGATAACTTTGATCAGTTACCTCTGAATCATATCTGAGTAGCAGATTTTATGTTTAAATTTGCTATAAAATCCCCTAAGCTTCAGTTATATTGTATATTATACAACAGATACATTCTTAGAAAACTCCATATAAACTTAATTGGATTGAATTACATTTTAAATGGGCTATGAGAGTTCACTTGAGTGTTCTCAATATTTAAAATGACTTGTAAACTACATTGTCAAAAGATCTTAAAAGTGGATGAATCAGAAAGATAACCAGGCGTTTATGAACCTCCTGACAGAAGTTCACACACAGCCCATGAATCAGAATGTGGAAAAAACTGATCCTGAGTCCAGTCAAGGCTCTAGATCTAACCACCACTATACAAGACACACAAAGAACAGAGACGTATTAAATGGCACCTCAGGAATGGGATTAGCAAGATCCAGACTGTGGGAAACACCACAGAACACAAGCTCTCTTCCACAAAAGACTGCAAAGGGGGAGGGCGGGTAGAGAGGGGAGAGAGGGAGAGGCAGAGGGAGGGAGGAGAAATCTGTGGGTGTGAAAGAGCTATCATAATGCAAAACCCTCAGTGGATCCATATTCAAACAAACTGTAGAACAACAACTGTAAGGCCATTGAGCAAATGTGAATTGTGCACACTAATTATACATCTGATGATCATCAAGGAGTTTTTGCTAATTTTTGGAATGTGATAATAATAGTACTAGGGTTATGGTTTTTGAAGGTGTTTAAGATAAAAGCACTGAAATTTTCATAGATGAAATAACAGGGTACCTGGGATTTGCTTCAAAATAACCTGGGGGCAGATGGGTAGGCCCAGATGGTATGAGAGGCAATCGCTGACAACCAGGCTGGGTGGTGGAGACGCGGTGCTTATCACACCATGACGCTCCTTTTATTTTTAAATTTTTAGAGAAAGTGCCACTATGCCTAGAAGATTGAGGTTTTAAAGGAAATACCTAGAATAGAGATTCTAATTTTCTGGGGAATGGGCACTGCTTAGTAGCTGTCACCTTGGGGTTACAGCCTTCCGCTTTCTCCTGAATATACATTTCTTTGGCTTATTTAGCTAAGATTTTTTTTTTCCCTTTTTAGGGCTATTGATCTTTTTCAGATGTTTGGAATAACTTACTGCATGTTACTTTGCCTTTATTAACTATGCCTTTGGAACTTGATACTGATTGTAAAAGGATATATTTGACTTGTACCTTGGAATCAAGTCTGAATGACAAGTTTCAGGATAAAAATTGCTTTAAAAATTTAAGCTTCAGTTATACTTTGTACTATACATCTGATAAATTCTTGGAAAGCTTCACTTAACTTAATTGAATTACATATTAAATGTGTCACGAGTGTTCACTATTTAAATCAAACTATAGGTAGCTCTTTCATAAAGTAACTGATAACTCTGGTATATTTGTAAATAGATAAAATTTGTGCTAATGTACTTCAATGAATTTTTTTATGGTGTTCTAATACTTAACATATGATGGAAGACAAAAGATTTAATTTGAGGCAGGAACACTATTTATTATACCAATGTCTCTTTTTTTCTCCTGAATGAGAAGAGATGGAAAATAGGAATGTAGGAAGGAATATAAAAGTAATTTAAATATAGCATTTCAAATAGCTTTTTACTGCTATTATGTTGATATAAAAGTAAATATTGACTTTAGTATTATTTTTTTCTTTTCATTTCCAGGGCCAAGGATTGAACTCAGGACCTTGCATGTGCTGGGCAAGTGCTCTGCCACTGAGCTAAATCCCCAACCCCGACTTTATTTTTTATGGCATGGCAAGTTTATAAACTCAGAAAGTTACAAAAACTCAGAATATTTCAAGTCTATTCCTAAAAGTGTTTTAAAATACAAATTTGTAAGAAAAATTATGAATTTCCTTTTTATCATGAGCAGAGGGTTTGATTGAAGGCAACCAGAAAGCCAAGCAAGACATGCTTATGGGCAGCCACCTCTGGGTTTGTATCCTGGACACTCACACTCTCTGGTGTATCTTACCAGTTTAGTGTGCCTCTGACAATGATACCAGTTCACAGAGGATCGTGGGAAGAGAGGTGATAACAGGAAAAGTAAATGGAGATGAAAGTTAATACAGGTGTCCCCATGGGCAGGTTTTGGAGTGTATGAACATCATCAACCGAAGACAGTAAAACGTCACACAATTTACAAAGTAAAGCAGGAAAAGAAGGAAGGAGAAAAATTAGATTTAGAAGCAAACTTCAGGCAACTTAAAGTAACTTCTAAGGGACGCTGAACTCTTAGCAGACACAGAGTCAGGAAGTCTGTGTGGGATGGGCCACGTGGTGATTCACCGGTTGTCAGTCAGTGTGCTCTTGGCACTGTTGACAACCCTGAAAATGAACTGGATTTACATATTCCAAAGGGGAAGCTAAGGTTGGCCGTTTCAAGTACCCAAGAGGATCAGGAAATAACTAAAATGATAAGATTGAATGTCACTGATAACAGGCGAGACACACAAAGGCATTTCCCGTGTCACTCACATGCTTCCACGGGATGCCCTCCCGCTGGTACTCCTCTTGTTCCTGCTTCAGAACCAGCTGGATAAATAGCTGCTGCAGTTTCTCATTGCAGTAATTGATGCAGAACTGTTCAAAGCTACATGCAAAAGAGTAAATTAAGTTTATATAAATAAAAAATAAGCAATAGGGTTGGGGTTCCCGCTGCCCTTCTTGTGCTTAGGAATTGAACCCAGGGACACTTAACCACTGAGCCATATCCCCAGCCCTTTATATTTTATCATTTACAGACAGACAGGGTCTCTTTTAGTTGCTGAGGCTGGCTTTGAATTCATGATCTTCCCAAGCCACTGGGATTAGCAATAGGGTTTTAGGCACCTCCTGCACCTCACCTGTTGTTGTCAAAGATTTCAAAGCCATAGATATCCAACACGCCAATAACAGTGTTTTTCCCATGGATGGTGGTGTCGTAGTTCTTGACCTCAATGATATCATTAATGCGAGTAACGATCCAACAAAAAAGGCGCTCATATATTGCCTGGGAAGAAGATAATATTGTAAATTTTTTGCCCACTTGGAGGTGAGTCGTCTGGATTTGTGATTTCCTATCCATCTTCTCCTTACTGTAAGCAGAACAATAAAACATGTCGATCATATGTTACCAAAAAAACTATATGATGTTTGCCAAAATAAAGTGAGTGATCCGGATTTTTAAAAGATGATGGATCAGCCATTGGTTGTTTTCCAGCGATGTTCCCCAGGCATGTTACCACGTCCCACTGTGCCAGGGATGGGCCTGCCCCCTTATGTAAGTCACTCTTTTATCAATTGACATCATAGTTGGTGTCAATTTCATCAACTATGAGAAGCTGGGAACAAACGAGTTAATATCTATACTTTAATATCTATTCTCCGCTAAAGTTCTGTGAATTCTAAAAAATATATAAATACTGATTTATAAGGCTCAATAAGTGTCTGAGCCAAAAGGCCAATGTTTGAAATTCCTTGAGAATCAAGTCCATGCTGAGGGTTTGGCTCAGTGGTGGAGGCTTGCCCAGCATGCATGAAGCCCTGGTTCACCCCCAGCACCACACATACACACACAAAGGTCAAATACACATCCATCGTACAAGGATATATATATTCCAAAGACACACGTGGAGAAAGGTGTCACAGGCAGCACACATCCTCAGCCTGACATGCTGGACATGTTTCTGATGTATCCCCCAGCCAGCCACTCTTCCCCCAACTTCACTTCTCCTGTTCTTTCCAATCCACTGGGGTCTTCACTGATGTCCTGCTCCTCCACTAACATCAAGGACCCAGAGCACCTCTGTGCAGACTTCTGTGTGGACATCTGAGATTCTCTATGTCACTCAATCTAGGTGCCCACTCCCTTTTTTTTGAAATATTCTCTTGTCTGGGATTTGTGATAACACCCTTCCTTGATTTTCTTCCTGTTTCCTTGGCTGACCTTTAGGTGACCTCTGAGAGGGTTTGCTCCTCATCCAAACTCTAAAAGCTGAAGTTTTTCTTGGCCCTCTTCTCCTCCCTCTAGTGCCCTCTGAGTTATCTCACCCGGTATTAAATACCACCCATATGGTCAGACTCCCAAATGGTTATCCCCACCCAGACCCTGGAGAGTCTCTGAGCTCTGGACTCAGGTGCTTGACTCTGCCTGACAATGACCCCGAGATATCTCACAGACACCTCAAACTCAGATCCTGTGAGAACTCTTGATGTTTTCACCTCCAAAAACTGTTCCTATCCTACTTGGAGCCATAAATAAGTGGCACCAGGCACTTAGAAATTAATCATTGATTCAAACAAACGATTAACTTGCTGACTACTCACAATGTCGTTTATTGAAGCCATAGGACAGAAATAGTCTCAATCTCTTAGGGAGTAGGATGAAGGACAATTACTTTCTCTGTTTCTCTGTCTCTGTCTCTGTCTCTGTCTCTGTCTCTCTCTCTCTCTCTCTCTCTCTCTCTCTCTCACACACACACACACACACACACACACACACACA